GTATTAATGGACATTTTCAAATGTTTGATTGTGTTTTGCTGGTTATAAATCTTTTTTTTTACTTGGTCTGAGGGAACTATTCCAATTTTTTGAGATAGGATTTTTGAGTTTTCTTAAGCTGTATGCCATAATCAGCAATATTAAATTATAAAAGGCTTGCAATATTTCAGTTGATTTGTAATGAATCCAGAATGTATGACATTTTTGTTTTTTTAATTGCATTACAGAAAATAAAGAACTTTATCACAATATTCTAATTTTCTGAGACAGTCCTGTATATTATTCAAATATAGCATGATAGGTCCACTTAATTATGAATGTGTTACATCAAGGCTGAAAATTCGTTTTTTTGTATTATATTTCCATTTAATCTTGCGGACGTGCAGATTCCCTGTCCTCCATCAGGGGGTGCTGCAGCACCCTCTGCACCTCTACTTCCCACGCCCTGATGTGCTGTATGTTTAGTGCACCAGTGAAGCAGCTAAATTACATTCATTTCATTATTTATCCAACCAGTCTTCTCAGGAAAATGTTTAATATTCTGAGCATATTAAAAAAGCATTCTGCAGTGCACATTAAAGATTGATTCTCCTAATCACACACACAGTTAGCAGTACTTTTGTTATAAATCCACACAGAGGCAGTAATGAGGCTCAACAAGCACACAGGTTTATTTTTAATACCACTTTATCTGACTAAAAAAAACACTTCGTGACACACAGACTCCGCCTTTGGCACGCTGCAAATTAACCCTTTACCCTCCGCTTTGTAAAGTAGTCCTGAAAAAGGTGCACCAACAATGAGTTTAATCGAGAACAGGACTTGTTTTAAATATTTAAAATCATTCCTAAGCTGTGACATGATTCTGTTCATATCAGAGAGTGTTTAAATACCTCAGGCACATTCTGCTTCAGTAGCATTTCCAAAAGCTGCATTTCAGGTCTTGAGAGAGGTGAGAACCAGACACACTTTGAGCTGAAAACATGGAGTAAAAATGCCCCCTTTTAATCGTGGAGTTTATTTTTTAGTGAACTGAACTCTCCTGCTCTCAAAGCCCAAACGATCTAGAAAAAAATATAAGCTTTGTTCCAAAAATATCTTTTGTTGACAAAAAGCCACTCAGTTCACTCCCATCCTTTATATCTTAGCAACACTCGACCTTTTAAAGTCCACTTATTCTACATTTATCAACAAATCCCACGTGCAGACCAACAAGCGGATCTAATAACAGGTCGTGTGTGTGTGTGTTCATTACCTTTACACTGTCATTTATTTAGATCTAATCTCTCTCTCTCACACACTCTCATTCTCTCACTCTCTCACACACACACACACAGCAATAACTACTCACTAGAGCAGCAAATGTGGATTAATCCGCCGCTGAAAATAGTCCCCAACAAATAAACCAATTATTCTTGTTTGAGACACAAACATTACATTTTTTTAATTTGTGAGCCATTTCTAAAGATGTTTGTCGTCAGTAAGAGACTCAGGGTTGAGGGACAGCTGGGGACAAAAGGACGTAGTGAGAGTCTGACTAACTGGGATTTGTTGAAAAAAACGTAAATATAGAATATTTCATAATTCTTTTCAAAGTCATAAAGCAACAGCACATCACAAAATGTCATCTGGAATACAAATCCAAACAATTGTTTTAACAGAACGATATGAATTATATTTAATAATCATACCTGATCTTTTATCCCTTCCTCAGCTGAGACAGTTTATAGTAACATAATCAAATGTTGCTCGACATATTCTTAACTAAGTAGATTGTCATTATATCCTGGAAAGTGTGTTGGGGAAATCAGGAAAGGTAATCTAGTTTGGGAACAATTGATTGGTAAAGATGCAAACATTTGAGGAACAATAGTAACAGTGATACCTGTGTCTCAGGTATGGAGGCTAACAGCTTCCCTTTGAACAGTGAGCATCAGAGAGCATCAGAGCTCTGGACCCCTCAGTTCTCCAGGTCCACGGTCCTCAGCTGGTCCTCTTCACTCAGACTGATGGTAGCGATGGCCCCGTCGTTGAACTCAAAGGAAGTCCCGCCGTCGACCACCATGCAGGCGTCCCAGCAGCGCGAGCGCACCGACACCCTGCAGCAGAGGAGGCATCGAACAACAAGTCAGAAGTCGGTTTAGCGGTTTGTTTGCTTTAAAGTCAAAACTGATGAACAGCTGCTCAAAGACTGAAGGGTCAACCTTTTGAGAAACTAGGCATCAACAGGTGTTGTACTTGAGTAAAAGTAGAAGTACGCAGATGTTGTTCTTGAGTTAAAGTAGAAGTACTCAGATCTTGTTCTTGAGTTAAAGTAGAAGTACTCAGATCTTGTTCTTGAGTTAAAGTAAATGGTAAATGGACTGTACTTATATAGCGCTTTATCCAGTCTTTAAGACCCCTCAAAGCGCTTTACATACTACATGTCATTCACCCATTCACACCCATTCATACAGAGCAGTGTACCTTACTCTATAGGACCTAACATTCACACACATTCACACACCGTTGGCCATGCCATCGGGAGCAACTCAGGGTTAAGTATCTTGCCCAAGGATACGTCGACATGTTTACTGCATGGGCTGGGATCGAACCCACAACCTTCTGGTTGAAAGACGACCACACTCCCTCACAGCCACAGTCGCCCAAAGTAGAAAAGTAGAAGTACTCAGATCTTGTACTTGAGTTAAAAGTAGAAGTACTCAGATCTTGTTCTTGAGTTAAAGTAGAAGTACTCAGATGTTGTACTTGAGTAAAAGTAGAAGTACGCAGATGTTGTACTTGAGTTAAAGTAGAAGTACTCAGATCTTGTTCTTGAGTAAAAGTAGAAGTACTCAGATCTTGTTCTTGAGTAAAAGTACTCAGATCTTGTTCTTGAGTAAAAGTAGAAGTACTCAGATCTTGTACTTGAGTAAAAGTACTCAGATCTTGTACTTGAGTAAAAGTACTCAGATCTTGTACTTGAGTAAAAGTAAAAGTACTCAGATCTTGTGGATGTACTCCAGGTGGAACTACAGTCTGAGGAGGTTCACTGACTTGCTGGCGAAGCCTCTCTGCCGGCTGCTGGAGAACACTCTGTTGACGATGGGCTCTCTGATGCTGAAGAACATACGTCTGTCGTCCGGGCTGAACACCAGAGACTCGTTGTACAGATCAGTCACTGAGGACACACACACACACACACACACACACACCATCGTCACATGAAACTAGGTGACAGAACATGTTCAATCTAAAATAAATAAGAGGTTTATAAACTCACCCTTTTCAATGAAGTCACGATTCAGCGGGATATCAAGACCTGTCTGAGACTTTCCTGAAGAAGAAAAAAGGTGAATTTTAAAAACCTGGTTCCCTTTAGACTTCATTTGAGAATCAGAAGTTGTACGTACCGATGTTGAGAACCTCCTCCACCGCCTGTTCAGCCAGTTTATTGATGTTGTATGACCTGAGCAAGCAGACGAGAGGATTCATACAGGATTACAAATTCTCGCGCACTCGAGCTGGTTTCTCCCAAATGACCAGGTATATAGTGCACTTTTTCATAGGCTGCTCAATTAAATCGTATTTTAATCGCGATTACGATTATGGCTTGCAACAATTACGAAAACAACGTAATCAAAATAAAACGATTATTTTTTATATTACTTTTTTGTTTT